CTAAAGGGAAACACTATGTAAAATGCACTTTTTACTGACTGTTGAACAGATCTGAGAGTTTCTGAGTTCAAAATATGACTTGAACACCAGCAGAGTAAAATGACTAAACCACTTTCCTATTGGGTTCCTTCAAACTCTGAAAATGTAAAAGTTTTTGTAATTCAATAGCAGATTATATGAACATACCTCCACTACTTTGGTGGAAAGAATACACTACGGATTCTAGTTAACAGGAACATATACTGCAAGGAATATGGACAACTGCCCATGTATCCTAATATTAAGATGTCTTCCTCCCAGTTGAGAATAAACCTAAAACACTCACATCTGATCTCCCCAAATTTAATTTGTCATTGACTAGTAAAGATAGATCCAAATTACTTTGCCACATATTCATGCACTATGTAATAATGTCATTTCACATTAAATCTTTTTTTTTAAATGACACAGCATGCCCTTTGAAACTTAACATTATCTGGGTTATGAAGATTGAAATTTACACGACATCAATATTACATGTGGTACTCTGAAGTTCATGTGCAGTTTTTCAGATTCTACTCATTTAGTAGTGGAGGGAACACAGTGTGATGATTATTTTTAGAGTGATTGCTTTTGTTAGAAAGAGAATAGTTTTCAGGCTTATGGACTCTGGGAGATATATCAATGAAGGTAGTAAATGGTAGGAAAAAATAGTACCGTACTTTACTTACTTTAATGGAGAATTGAGAAACATGAGTTTGTCAGTGGACCCAGAGGCTATTTAGAGGTAAATTTACTAGTGAGCAGAAGGAATTGATACACACACACCCACACATATACATATTTATAAGATATATATAATATATATACACCTATATATATATATATATATATATACATATATATATATATATATATGTATATATATAAAATCTTACACATCTGTCATGGAGAAATTCTTTGTGTTCTGAGCCTGGAGTGAAGAAATGATACTGAATAGAAGACTGGAGTGACTACCTTTTTAGTCTTCATTTTCTACAGATGTGACTGAAATTTGATGATGACAAGGCACATAAGATTAATATTAGAATTAACTCATCACATCTTTGTCCTTATTTTATTCAAATTTAGTCAGTTCTTATAGCTCCTTATGGCACCACCTCAATTTATAACAGCATAAACTTTCACTTTGCTATGGATTACAAGTAAAAATTAAAACTTTAAATAACCACCACCTTACTTCAGTTTATTCTCAAAATTTTCTATATTTCCCCAAATTCATATCATAATTAATGAAACTGGTCAAGATTTAATTGTTGAAAGTCAAGTTACCTGTTCTAAATCTTTGCACAAAAGAGCTGGGTCTTTTTGGAAATACACATCAAAAGGTTATTTATTCTCTTTGTATATTATATGAATTTCAGTTTTGTTGAAGGAAAGATGAGTAAACACAAACCATAAAGATTAATAAATATGCTATCATTGCCAATTGCACAATTTTACCCCAAACTACCCTTTGAATAGGTGAAGAAATTAATAACTATCCCAATAATAGTAGTCAATTCTCATTTATCTGGGCATAAATATTCATCATGAAATTTTAGTTTACTATTCTTCCACAAAGAAAGGCTACACTGGAAGAGGAATTGCCTCTATTAGAAGAATAATAGTCATCCCCTGAATTTTCATGAAAGTAACAAATGATAGATATAACATGTCTACATGATATGTGGGTTTATATGAATTTTCCTGTATGAGACTATCCTCTAAATTCAAATAGTAGTAGCTTTTTAGGTGATAAGTGTCTTCAGATTCACACCCAGAAAAACAGGTTTATTGATTTTATCTGGAATTCCAAGGGCTTATTTCTTATAATCCTTTTGTAGATCCAAGGTATCCTCAAGTTTAAGGTCTATTATTAAGGACATCCAAAATTTGTAGGTTACTTTCTTTGTTCAGAATAATCAAGGGGCAGGATTCAAGAGAAGGCAAGGAATAGCCTCTGCTTCCATTGACAAGTTTCTCCTTTTAAGGAGCCCAGTTGCATCAGCATCTTTTTGTAATGACTGCATATGCTGTTAGAATTTTTTTTTCCACAAAAGGGAATATAGGTCTGTAGGTGGGATTTCTAACTTATTTAATAATATTTTACCTATATTAATTAACTACATCAATAGTGGTATTAAGGGCCAAGCTAGTTCAGACAATAAAGGATTTTCTTCTTTCATGTCTGTGTATTCTTTTAGTTCTATTAAGTCACTTTGCTGGTACAATGTCAATACTATCCTTTGAATTTTAATAAGCTTTTTTTCTGGGACTAATGATTATAAACTAAAACTATTTAAAAAAAAAAAGACATTAAGCACAAGATAAAAAATACCCCTAAAATAGGGAGAACTTGTGTATCATTCCAGAATCAGAAAATACTTCACAAATTTATGAATGAATGTTTTCCTAGAAATGGTGATATCAATTTACATAAATTGTATCTGAAAAGGACTATTCTAGGATAATCAAAACTTAGAGTTTAGGAGCTGGCTGTCAGTTAATATTTGCTCTTGTTAAAAAATGATTAATAATATTGAAATATGGAAGAAACCAGCATCTATATATTTAAGATTAAGTCAGTAGGGTCCAATACATATAGTATGAACAAAATAATAAACACAAAATCATTAACTATTTGAACAATCAGGTGTTTAGCTATAGAAATGTAGTAGGTTCGTGACTCTTAACTATGTCTTGGATTTCATAGAATTGATCTAAACTTAAATCAGCTGGCTACACAAGATACAAATATCTTCTCTGCCCACAGAAGACCTAAGAAATGGGGTACAAATTAAATAATCAAAGATTTGAGCACCAGAATAAAGGGTTGGACTCTCATAAGCAGCAAGTTGAGGTTACACTAAAGAACCAGATGGACTTTTGAATCCGTATGTATCATTCAGAGCCCAAGCGGCGATTGATGAAAAACAGGCAATACCAAACGTCACACATGACCAAGTCTGGAAGTCCATTCTCTTCCCCAGCTTGGCTAACATATTCACATTTGCAATTGTGTTTTTACAACTAGAATATTCTTATCCCCCAGAACCCCACCAAAAAAAAAAAAAAAAAAAGAGAAGGATGAAACCTAAGCACTAGGGGAAATACATTTTTTCTCATTTTATTGTGAGTTCTAACAGAACTTTTGTTAAACATAGAGCACGTGAACACATGACAGTTTCCTTCATTTGTTCTCATATGGAGCTGATAGAAGAATACTTGGGAGGAATGTTTCTAAATCCATAGATAGCTTCTTTTGCATTTATTTCATTTTTTAAATATGACAAAGCATTAGAGGAAAAAAAAGTTCCTTAAGTTGTGAGAATATCAAATATTACCCATCAATCCCTGAATCATGCTATTCAAAGTGCTTAAATCTACGCTAAAAATAGAACAAAAAAATGTACTCCCAATGCAGCTAAATTAACACCTATGGATGCCTAAAATATGACTGTGGTCTGATTACTTCCTCTACATTTATTCCACACTTCCATCGTGCACATAAAAAAAATAAAAATAAATAAAAAGTTTCAAAAAAACCCCAAAGAATTAAACCAGGCCATTGCCACATTTACAGTTTTCTGAGCAGTGGGGGAGTTTGGAATCCAGTCCAATGAGGTTCACTGCCACCAGTCCCTGACAGGTGTCCATAATACAACGTAAACAACGGCCTTCTCCGATTCTGAACATAACCCAATGTGCAAAGCTGACCTTAAAGTTTTATGTGTCCTTGTAGCTTCAGTTCTGGTTTGTGAAAATGTGACACGGATCCAAGGGAGCACAGGAATAAAGACAGATTTGTAGAGAAGGACCCAGGCAAGTTGTCAGGGAAGTAAACATTTTTTAAGCAAATAAAAATCAATGCACATCCTAAGACTCCTTTACCTTGTCAAACAGATACTGGGACCTTTGCACTGTTATAAAATGCTTATACTCATCTCTCACACGTTTGCAGTTCTATCTTACCCTCCCCAATGAACTCTATTGCAGTTTACACTTATTCTTTTTTTGTGGCCAACTCACAACTCACACCAAACTGTATAATTGTTTTCTCATTATATGGTGGTAGGAATAAAGCAAATGTACAATAGTCACTACACGAGTCCACAGATGATGACTGGGATGGAAGTTCCTTTGATGAATCACTAAAGTAATGTTTAAGTTCTATTATCTGTTTCTGTCACATTGATTTTTGTAAAACTAAAAGCTACATAGGTAATATTTCCTTTTAACAATTCTGTTCTCTGTAGGTTCCTTTGTGATTGATTTTACATCATTCTTAACATGAATATGAATTAGCTGCTTATATCATCAATTTCAAACATAAAGCTAAGTGGTAAGTGATGAATTTCCTGGGAGCATCAGCTTTCTATTTCTGAATGATATAATCATATAGCTAAAATAAAATTAATTCTTTATACAGTAAAATTAATTATTTTAAATACTTTCTGATCTAATTTAAAAACTATCTTTTGTAAATAATGTTTACTTTGAAAATACTGATCTCTGTTGTTATTCATATGTTTGACCTCCTGAGTTCTTATTTAAACACCTTATATTAATATGTGTTGCTTATTCACAAACTGAAACCAAACACTTAGTCCTGAATGTAGCCTTAAATATTAAACACAAGTGAGTTAACATTTAAATACAAGGGGACCCACAATAAGATTCACAGATTTTCTCTGACTCTTTAGAAAATAACATTTTGTATAATACAAGGTGACAAAACATATTTGATGACACATCCTGTTCTTCCCTTTGGTTTGAAAGCCTTCAATGTAAATTTCATTTTGACTTGCCTTGATTCACCCTTTTGAGTTAACTTGCCTGGCATTTGCACATAATCTCATTTGCAGAAAAATTATAGCGGGAAAAGAGGAAGTAGAATATTAAACAAAAACAGCCACAAACACATTCATGCCTTTCCAGGAAGTGATCAAATATAGGGCTTGATTTTTTTGTTTTTTTGTTTTTTGTGTGTTTTTTTGTGTGTTTTTTTTTGTTTGTTTTGTTTTGCTGTTTCATATATATTTATATTTATATTTATATTTATATTTATATATATATATAAGGGTACATCAACTCATTTAAAAAACGGAAACAACACTCTCCCTCATTTTCATGCCCTCGATCTTCTCTTCTTAGCACTCTGTAGTGGTCACTGTCAAGTGACTAGCACGCCTTTGGGTCTAGAGTGTATTCTGAAGAGCAGTGAATTAAATGTTAAGACAGTTAGACCCACCCCCACCCCTCTGCAGAGTTTACACATCATGCTGCCATTAGAAGGGTAGAGGAGGGGAATGAGGTGGGACAAGGAAGAGATTCAGGGCCCTGACAGGTAGGCCCTCCTATGAACAAGTGTTCTTCTCTCTCTCTCTCTCTCTCTCTCTCTCTCTTGTTTTTCACAAATGGCAATGCTGGCGTTCGTTGCACTGCTCTCTGAAGGCCGACGTGGCCCAGCTGATCCTAGGCAGAACTCGAGAGAGGATCCGGTGCTCCTTGTCCCATCAGATAGATTTGTCCAAGCACCCCAAGGAAATGTTAAAAGCAAAATAAAAATTTAAAAAAGGAAATAAAAACCCATTCTAAAACTAAACTAATGAAGCAAAAAAGGGTTTTCTACCTATATATCAGTCTCTTCTTTAAAAAAAAATGTAAATTTACAAATTCCAATGACATATAAAACAAAGTCAAAAATGTAATGGTAAGAGACATGGTAAAACAGGAAGACACTGATGCTACAAAGAAATTCCAAAAAACATATGTACAAGACCCTGTTTTTCCTCGTGTTCTAGAGATTGTAATGCATGTTTTTAACAGCAGCAGTCGAGGATTTAGTTCCAGGCACTGGACTGCAGATTCCGCTCAAACTCCCAGGAATGGGATGTCCCTTGCTTTTCTGTCACCAAATTACACTGGATATACTGGTCTCCCTTGGCAACAGTGGCAGGATGGCACTGTTTGTGTGGGCCTCATCTGGATTCTGCTCCCTGCTTGATTTTGTCTGTGGCCGCTGCCCGTTGATGAGTGTCATAGGGATGTTACAGTAGGTATGCTGATTTCCTATGGAGGTAAGAGGCAGGGTGCCAGTAGGAGGTACGTCGTACTCATAGCTTCGGTAGTAGTGTTTCTGACGCATTTGCGAATGGTACGTGTTGTGAAAGGTAGAACGGAGATCTGGATGGGCAGTGGCTAGAGCTGTGGAAGTGGCCGCGGCCATGGAAATGGCAGAGACAGTCTGCAGCTCCCCAAAAGGCCCCTGCTCACTGACATCTAAAGCCTGCTCGTGTGTAATGGGTTCTATCCTCTTAAAAGGCATCTCATACTGTAAACGTTTCCAGAACTTAGAGTTCAATTTGTTGCATTTTGGTCCATGCCATTTAATAACTGTCAGGAGCTTGATGGTGTGCTTGAGGGCCTCCACCTCCTGGTAGTTCATAATTCCTCGTAGCTCACTGCATTCAATTAGTATCACTTTAATTTCTCCAGTCACAAGCATATTTCGAAGTCTGGTCTCCAGTTCAAAGATGCTCCAGCCCCTTCTAACTACGTAATTTGGGGTCATGACAATGATCAGCCGCTTGCTTTGATCTACACATCTTGCCACATCTTCAATGTATGCTAGAAAGAGAAAATAATGTATAAGAATGAACAAGCTAATCATTTGGTCCAGAAAACCCTGGTAAATTATCTAGTTACATGAGGATTGCCATTTGTTGGGAAACACTTTGAGAAGATGAAAATAGCCAATCATCACTTTGAAGAGAGCTTGGGCCTTACATCTTGTAATGTTTGAAGTATTTCTCCCAGATACAAATATTTCATTTGATTTCATCAAGGCTCATAGAAGGAGATGCTTTAGAGAATAATTAAGCATCTTCTCTGTGGTATCAAAACTTAAATTTCATATGAATGCACAAAGACATTTCCTTTTTCAGAAACTAGTAGATACAATTTTTGAAGTCAAGAACCCCAAATTAAAACTCTATGCAAAAAGTAATGATGCAAACAAATTATGCAAATGAAAACACTAACTTACTTCCAGTTGGGATTAAATCTCTATCTGGTATAAACAACTTATATCCATAATGTTTTTCAAGCATATCAGGTAGAATTTCAAGGGCAAAACGTTCTTCTTCCCCAGTCTCTTGATTCCACTGGTCAGGATCCACTTTGGTATATGATAGGTAAGCATCATAATCTTTATTATCTGTTAAAAATACAGATACAGAGTAAAGTTGAATTCAGTACAAAGAAAATATTAGAACATAAAAAACAATCATTTATTTTCATAAAAAACAATCATTTATTTTCATACCTTCAAATGTCTCATTCCTGGAAAACAAATTGGGAAGCCTTCATTAATTTTATTAAGTGTTCAATAAAACCAAATATTCTGGGACTAGTTTGGAAGTAGAAGGGTCATATTTTGATTTTTGTTGTTGTTGTGAAAATAGTAGGAGGAAAATCAGTGAAAAGAGTAATGAGGACTGGAGGTGTAACTCAGTGGTATAGCAAGTATGTAACATGCACAAACCCTGGGTTTCATTTCCAGCAAATGCAAAAAAAATACATATAATGAGATGCTGACTTCTATCATTTTTGATGCATAGAGTATAAGAAATCTTTACTGTTTATAAAAACTGCATGTTTGAATAGTAGTATGCTCTTATTGTAGATATTACATTCTTACATTCAACCAATCCTGTCTTTGGTTATTTAACCCTGTTGGAAGAGAGAGAGAGAGAGAGAGAGAGAGAGAGAGAGAGAGAGAGAGAGAGAGAGAGAGAGAGAGAGAGCCTTGCTTGTTTGTGGAAAAGTGTTTTTTTTTTTTTTTTTGAGAGGGGTACTTGCTGTGTTGTCCAGGCTGGCCTCAAACTCTGGTCTCAAAAGGTCCTCCAGTCTTAGTAGCTGGGATTATAGGTGTGTGCCACTCTATGAAGTTCTCTTCTCTTATAATATCATCACTTTGATTAATAGGTAGCTAAGTCATAACCTTTCATGTTCTCAGATAGCTATAATCCTATCTTTTCTTTTCATTTTTGAGATGAAAAGGTCTCACTATGTCACCCAGGCTGACCTAGAACTCCTGGGCTCAAGTGAGCCTCTTGTCTCAGTCTTTTGGGTAGCTGGGATTGTAAGTATACCATGCCTGGTTTGAGCAATGATTTTTACATTCTATGTGCTGTTCACATAGCACCAATTTTGGAATTATTGATTAATTTCTCACTGAGACTCAGTTCTTGGGTTGCACACTGAGAATATTATTAAATTGAATGATTATATAAAACATTTTTTACTGGTATACATTTATTTTACACATAAAATAATGCCAAATTGTTTGTCATCATTCTATTCAGTTTGGCTACAAGAATAAAAAAGTACAACATAAACTAAATGAAAGTTAGTACTAAAATCTGATTTCTCTCCTCAATCTTCCCCCTTCTTACATGACAACTTTAAACATTTGAGTACTATTATCATGTGTTCTCTTTATCTTATTTTTTTTTCTAATTTTGCATCTCAATTTCTCATTGGTTATTTCTAGAATAAGAAATCACTTAACTTCTAGATTTCTTGTTTATCAATTTTGGTTTTAGAATATGATGTCAGGATTTATAATTCACCTCAATTCTAAATACCATTAATTTGATTAGTTAGTCTATCAATATAAGTATCTTTAGCTCTAGTGTATTAATCAATTATTAGATCAAATTGGATTGAAATTCTCATAAATTTTAGAATAAAATGAACTTTGAGTTAGGCATGAATTTAAAATCTGTGAGTGTAAGATATCCAATATTGTATAACATTTTTTTACCATTGCTCTCAGTGACTTGGGGATATTCCTTCAGACTTCAGGGGCACTAACACTCACTTTCTGAGATTTATATAAGTTTAATTCTTTTTTTAAAATTTTTTATTGTTGGTTGTTCAAAACATTACATAGTTCTTGATATATCATATTTCACACTTTGATTCAAGTGGGTTATGAACTCCCATTTTTACCCCGTATACAAATTGCAGAATCACATCAGTTACACATCCATTGATTTACATATTGCCATACTAGTGTCTTGTATTCTGCTGCCTTTCCTATCCTCTACTATCCCCCCTCCCCTCCCCTCCCCTCTTCTCTCTCTACCCCCTCTACTGTCATTCATTTCTCCCAGGAAAATAAGTTTAATTCTTATAGTCAGATAATCTTGAGCCATGTGAGAAGTGGAAAGTTCAGTGGTCCATTTTCAGAATATAGTATTTAGCCTTAAGTGGGATATTAAGATCCAATCATAGGTGTTTTGAGCTTCCCAATCTTTATCCTATCATAGCCATTTTAACTGTAGCCCTTCCTTTTGCCTGCCCCAATTTTAAATTTAGCCAGTTGTGTAGATTGTAATCCCAAATTCCTCCTATCAGAGCAGAGGACAGTGATGGCTTAGGGATAAAAACAAGTGGACTGCCCACCCAAGTGTTCTTGCTTGCCAGACTTTGTTCAGTAGCACACCCTTCTAACAGAAGTCAAGTTTTCCTTGCTGAGCTAGTTTGAAGCAGTGTTTCATTCTTTGGCACCCTGGTATTTCTAACAGCTGTCTAGAAATCATTCTATGATTACAATTTTCAGGGCAAACTGAGAAAACTGATTAATACACTGAAAGTTAAAACAGGTATCTAAGAAGCTAACAATGCCACTATAGGAACCCTGGTAGAAAACTTTACACTATTGAAGATTTCTTTTTTTAAAGCAGCTTTTAGGGAAAAAAAAGTTTTAGAAAATAGTAACCATCCAAAATGTGTTATATTTTGGTATTTCCTCTATTCTTTGTTCAAGATATAATTGCACATATGATAGATTACATTCAATTTTCACCAGAAAATATTATGTTTGGCTAGGAAGGCTTTGTCTATAGGCCAGAGTCAGTCTAAAATGGCACCATGTGCTGATGCAAACACTTTAGTTGAGTAAGCAATCATAGCACATAATAAAGAAGTATATCATTTGGGATTAATATTTAGTTAAAATACTCATTCTATAGCTATTCCCATGCATTTCCTATAAAATATAAATTTTTCTTTTCAATATAGGTCAGGTGATTCCAGTCTAGTAGAAAATAGATAAATCAATAGTCTATTTTTATGGGATAAATGTGTTACTAGGAGTAGTACAGGTATCACAGGCCAAAGAGAGTACTTTGTAAGTCAGAATAATATTATTTTGTGCATATGATACTTTTTTTGTGGGAAGTTTCTTTTTTTAAGCTTGCCCCCTAAACACTACAAAGTGTTGAAGCTCTTCTAAATCTGGGGTGTGTTCTAGTTAGATTCTTATTCTTTGCCCTTTGTCTTCTCTAGGATTAAAAATAACATGCTTACAACATAACAAGCTTCCTATCCCAAGTTCTGTTCTTCACCTTTTATTTAATTTTCATTTTAATAGTAAAACATCTCACTGCTTTAGTGTTTAAACCTAAGGTGCAAGTTCTATTTACTTTCTTTTTTTGCTAGTCATTTCAAAGCTATTCATTAGTACAAAGAGTCTATGTTCGATTTCCTTCCTAGGTTAAGCTCAGTTCATTTGTCAGCTGTTATATTTTACCCAATTTTCACTTTCTTTCTCTGTATGGATAATAAGAATAGAAAATGGTCATGGTCCCCAATTAAGGGGACCTTCCTGGACTGCCTGGTAAAAACATTAACGGACCCATCAAGACCTTTTTCATATGCAAAGACTCCTTTGTCTCAGAGTCTACAAAAATGCTAGGTGGGATGAATCTAGTTACAGGAAAGATTAAAACTCAAGGCTAAAGAACACAGTTCATGATTTTGGTACTTTTTCAATGCCTGTTTAACATAGATTTTGATCAATTCTCATACCCCAAAAAACTATATAAGCCCTTGAGCTAGCATGCTAAAATGGATTTTCCTGCTCTCAGGTGCCCTCTTGCATTCATTTTTCTTCTCACTGAAATAAATACTGTTCTATTTACTCTTCCCTTCTGTTATTGTCCATGGATTTTATTCTTCAAATTTTTGAGACAAGAACCCAGAGATAAATTGGTGAAGCAGAGAATCTAGTTTCATCTCAAATCTTCAGTTTCAAATTCAGCCACCAAATTTATCTTTCCAAACTAATCAAAACTTATGGAAGCTCAAAATCTCTATGGCTACCCATTGATTGTATAAATATTCAACAACTAAATCTGTAGTTTGGTTTCCTTTAAATTGAGTGTGATTTCCCTCAGTCAGAGGTGATCTCTTTTCAAATTTAGTATATCATTGTGTTCTTTATCTTATTTTCTCCTTTAGACTTTATGACTCTTGTCTCAGACATGTAAGTAGGGATAGATAAGATGCTCAAATATACTTGTTGAAAAAATGAATGAATTGTCTTTCATTTGGGCCATATGTGACACATACTGTGTCTAGTTTCAAGAATTTTTAAATATCTGGCCATTTCTCAGGACATATGGCTTTGGATATGTAGATTCCATGGTGCCCAGACTTTTCAAGAAATTGCTAAGAGCTGTGGGGGTTAGAGGTTAGCAAGGTTCCTTTGGACCTTTCGGAGTAGTCTTGAAGTATGGCTCAATATGGTTCCAAAAAATCCAAAAGACCTATGGCCCATGTCAATGCCACTAGGAATGTGTTTTTTAGACTGGAGCACAAATGACAAACATTTGGAAGACTTGATAAAACCTAGATTTCTGTGTACCCCTTCCAGTGTTTCTCATTCAGTATTTGTAAGTCTTGAGAAATTGCATTTATAACAAGCTCCCAAGAGATGCTTCTGCTGGTCCAACGATTATACTTTGAGGATCTTTGTTGTAGAACAGAGTATAGACATGCAGAGATCTTGATGACATCAAGCAACTGCAGTCAGCTTTAAGGTAATTGAGCAGAGCACCATAAACAATGAACCTTGCCCTCTTAGCTCCATTAGAAATGCTTTTTTAAATTTAATTACCATCCACCAGTATTTTAATTTCACTGACTAAATGAATAAAAGGCTTAAACATAGATTGTTACCATACTTTTAATCTCTTACTAGGAAAAGCACAATTCAGCTGAGAAATAAATTTGGAGAGATCTTTTTATCTTCAGAGACTATTTTAACTGGCATAAGATAGGTTTGATTTCTCTTGCCATCTAGGTATTAGATGGAAGCTCTTACCTTATGTGTACACAAAGATGTATGTTCTCTCTCTCTCTCTC